GATAACTTTAATATCTACTAAATCCATCTATTAAAAAATTGAACCCAAAGTTAAAATATTATATTAAAACTTTTAGTAAAAAAACATTAAATATAATTCTTATAAATGTTCTTTAAAATTGCTATTATCCTATATATTTAAACTGCTGATGAAGAAAGTTTTTATTATTTGTTCCTTAATTTTTAAAATATCTAAAAATACGAAATTGTGTTAAAGAATATGAAAAACATTTTTAAGTTGATGGATGATAAAATTCTAATATAGCATATAATAACTTATACATATTTCTCTCTCTGTAGCCATACTGTATCCGACCTCCGAGATGCCGACCCTCAAGCCCCACAGCCTGAATGTGCATTCCTACAAGGGACCGACCTTCTGTGATTTCTGCGGCGAGATGCTGTTCGGTCTGGTGCGCCAGGGTCTCAAGTGCGATGGTATGTGATATATAACATATATATAAAGAAGATGAAGGGACAGCCCCCACTAATCCCCAACCGAATCCTTGCCACCCACAGGATGCGGTCAGAACTATCACAAGCGGTGCGTGGTGAAAATCCCGAACAACTGCAACCGCTCGAATGACGCCACCTCGAGGCGCTCCTTCACGCTCCAGACGCCCCGCAGTCCGTCCGGCAGTTCCCAGCAGTCGCTCGTCTCCACGGAGGACTCAACCGGAACCGGAACGGGACGGAACGACTCGAGCAGCTCACTGGTAAAGCGCATGTCGGACCTTATGAATGATATTATTAAGAATTGACAGCCTGACAGCACCTTTTGTACTCCTCCATCTAGTATCTAGTTATATAGTATCTGTGTGAATGCGAGTGACTGTTTGTATGTGTGTTTTTCAAGGGTGTTGGTTGACAGTTTCCGGTTATCCTGCGAGTATTTAAAATTGTACTTAAATTGACTTACACTTTTACTTTGTATTATTTTCATGCTTTTTTTAATAAATTTTTATACTGCGCACATTCTTATGCTTTCTTAACTCTTTTGAATACTCGTAGGGGGAATGACTGGTGATACTAGTCACATCTAAGTTAGGGGGAAGTTAAAGATATTATGGATATGATTGGAAAGTTCCTTCATTAATAATAGAGAAATTCTTTTGTGAAGTTGTTTGACCTGATATTTATGATTTAAAGTATTATTCTATTGATCCCAAAACTTATTTATTCTGGCATTTATTCTGTTAAAAGTACATTAAAGTTTACCTAGAGTTTTAGAGTAGTTTGCTTTAATTCCAATTATTAGAAACTTTAATTTTTTCATTACCTAAAGATTCTACAACAATTTATTGTTTTATTTCATATTAATATAACAAAAATCGAATTTGTTGTGTGTATCCAAAACCTCTGAAATTTTCCCCAATCATCGTAATTTCAAGTTCTCCGAAAGGAAAAATTAAGGAGGGAGGCTTGGTAGGTAGCTAGCTAGCCAGACAAATTATGAAAATTAGTTTTGCCCAATTAACGCCATTAAAGGAGTCCTCCCCGCAGGGAATAGCCTGCGCAAATCCATCTCCAGAGCCTCTCAATTTGCTAATTAAGTCGCCCTGCCTCCTCTTTAATTCCCAGAATATCCCTGGTCGCCATCAGAGGACCCATTCGTCGGGCAGCCGGAACGGACCTATGGTGCTCCGTATTCCGCACACCTTCATGGTGCACACATACGGAATACCCACGGTGTGCCAGCTGTGCAAGAAGCTGCTGAAGGGCCTCTTCAAGCAGGGATTGCAGTGCCGCGACTGTCAGTACAACACGCACAAGAAGTGCATGGACAAGGTGCCCCACGACTGTACGGGCGAGGCTCAGCTCAGCCAGCTGCAGATCCAGGCCGGAGCCAGGGAGCGGGACAACTTCTTCCGCGAGGAGTTCGACGACAGCGATTGCGACGAGGGCAGCGACTATGGCAAGTACAAGTCGGCCACGTCGATGGGTGGTGTAAATCTGGTGGCCGGTCGACCCAGGGAAGCTCCCAAAGCTCTGACCAATGCCCACAATTCACCGCCCGAGTTGGTCAACGGAGGATTGGGAGACGATTCCAGTGGCGGTGGTGGTGAGACTAGCAAGTCCAGCAGTGATGGCCAGTCGGAGCAATCGCAATCCTCAGCCTCCTCGTCGCCCAGTGCCAATATCCCGCTAATGAGGATCGTCCAATCCGTCAAGCACACCAAGAAACGTGGAGGTCAAGCGCTCAAGGAGGGTTGGCTGGTGCACTACACCTCGCTGGACAAGGCCGTCAAGCGATACTACTGGCGCTTGGACTCCAAGACCATCACACTCTTCGTCTCGGAACAGGGTAGCAAGTACCACAAGGAGCTGCCGCTGGCGGAGCTCCTGTCGATCGAGAGTCATCTGGGTGATCCTCGACCGGAGAGCAACTACTGCTTCGAGCTGCGCTTGCCCAATCTCAGCTACTTCGTCGGACAGGATCCGCAGGTGGGCGCCAAGGAGGAGCAGGCCGTCCGATTGCCTCCGCCGGACAGCGGCATCGGTAGCGACATCGCCAAGAGCTGGGAGACCAGCATCCGACAGGCCTTCATGCACGTCAACAATACCCGTGAGTACTGTGGTAATAGATCCCTTTAAAATGACTGTAAACGATACAGCTGCTGCATGTTTAAAGTCGATTGTTGCCACGTTAATAATATTTTTAAATTCATAATAAATTCCTAATACCCTTTATGGAAACAGAAAGACCTTTAGATACTTTCTATAAGTTGTTTCCAGTATATTTCATAAAAGACTGCCGCTGTATCGTTTACAACCAGCTTAATAATTACCAATCTGCATAGTATAATCCAATTTCCTTTCTTTACCATTTCCAGAATGCTGCGAATCGGAGGAGCAAGTGCAGGACATGGGTCAGCTGTACCAAATTTTTCCGGATGAGGTCCTGGGCTCAGGACAATTTGGCGTGGTATACGGTGGAGTCCACAAAAAGACGCAGCGTGAGGTGGCCATCAAGGTGATCGACAAGTTGCGCTTTCCCACCAAACAGGAAGCGCAGCTGAAAAACGAAGTGGCCATCCTGCAGAACATCTCGCACTGTGGAGTCGTCAATCTCGAGCGGATGTTTGAGACCCCTGAGAGGATTTTCGTGGTTATGGAGAAGCTCAAAGGCGACATGCTGGAGATGATCCTCTCGCATGCGAGGGGCCGTCTGAGCGAGCGGGTGACCAAGTTCCTCATTACCCAGATCCTGATCGCCCTCAAGTACCTGCACTCGCAAAACATCGTCCACTGCGATCTTAAGCCGGAGAATGTCTTGCTTTCCTCGGATGCCGAATTTCCGCAGGTTAAGCTCTGTGACTTTGGCTACGCTCGGATCATTGGCGAGAAGTCCTTCCGGAGATCGGTGGTTGGCACTCCGGCCTATTTGGCCCCGGAAGTGCTGCGGAATAAGGGCTACAACAGATCGCTGGATATGTGGAGCGTGGGCGTTATCATCTATGTGAGCTTGAGCGGTACTTTCCCCTTCAACGAGGAGGAGGATATCAACGACCAGATTCAAAATGCGGCCTTCATGTATCCACCCAATCCTTGGAAAGAGATCTCCTCAAATGGTAAGTTCTTATTTGAACATAAAGGTAATCAGGGTTAAAAGCATTATATTAATTAGAAACAAAGGTAACTCATTATAATTAATAAATTAATTAAACCCACGATTGTTTTTGGAAGTTTGGATAGTATTTCCAAAAACAAGAATTTCTTATAAGCAAGGACTCTTATCAGTGTACTTATATTGCCTCTTGTTCTTTTAGCCATCGACCTGATCAACAACCTGCTGCAGGTGAAGCAGCGCAAGCGGTACACGGTGGACAAGAGTCTGCTGCACTATTGGCTGCAGGACAAGCAGACGTACCGCGACCTCCGAACCCTGGAGACCCAGGTGGGTGGTGGTCGGTATCTGACCCACGAGGCGGATGACCTGCGCTGGGACTGTGCGGGCGACATGTGACCTGGCTGTGAACCCCACGCGATCCTCGAGAGCACCACCGAGATAATGGGCTGCACCACCACCACCACCGAGAGCTATCGTCCATCTCCGGCGGATTGTGCCGGATGCCATCGACTGTCGGATTGCGGCCACTCGCCCAAATCGGAGGCGATGAGCGACAGAGCCCTGAAATGGATGCGATTCCATCTCTGCCGGCACATCAAATAGCAGTACAACCCTATTGCCTAGCCCATAAGTTTATCCCATCTCCTCTAACTCGCTTTTCGATAAACGCTAAACAACAATGAATTATTCTAACTTACCTACAACTCTGTGTGCTAAATTTTTCTCTAGAATCAAAATTAGTCGATAGCTTTAATTCGTTAACCACCTAAAGGCAACTCTTATGAATAACTACTTAATATACAAAAAAAAACAAAAAACCCAGAAGAAACTGTGAAGCTCAGATCCAGTTTAGAACCAATGGCCATAAGGTACACAAGAAACACCAACCAAACGAATGGCAGAGAAAATATAGCTGAATAAATAACGCTTGACAATTAAGCGGTGCACCTAACTTTTTTACTTACAGTCGTGGGCGGGAAAATAGGTAAGAATAATGTAAGACTATCAGATGTTTGGGATTGTAACCAAAAAAATGTTTGAATAATTTCTACGTTACTTAGGTATGATTATTATTTCTGTAGAAATAGATATTTACTACTGTAGTATGTAGACTTATATGTTATTTAAAGTCAAAGTTTGGTATTCTCAAAATATATTTTTCAGATTTTTAATAAGGTCAAATAACAAACATAAAATATATTAAATTCCTAAGCAGTTCTAAAAAATGATCTTAAAACAAATTGACAAGACTTTTAATTTTTAAGTTAAATATTTTTTTGTCCATGGCTGTTTAGTTTGTCACCCACATGGATGCACTACGTTTTAACGTGCAAAACCGTATCCACAAATCACTGGCCTGCAACGGCTGACACCTTTCTCAGAAGACTTTATCCACACTTTCCAGCAGTTCTTTACAAGCTAACCAACAGACAAGATGCTTTATTTTGTGGTTAAGTGTTTCTTTCTGGTGATTCTGCCCAGGATCAGTCAGCAGGGAAATGACTTTACCACACCCAGTGCCGCCTGGTTGGAATATCAGCGGGAAAGGTTTGGCATCAACAATCCTCTGATGATCAGCTCTACCAAGGCACCCACCGTAGGCGTAGTTGTGGTGACCCCAAAAGTGGAGACCACGTCCAGGAAACATTCTTCCAATCCGCCCGAAAATGCAGGTCAGGAATCGGAGGAAGATGAGGAGACCACAGAGCAGCCAGCGGAAGAAGAGGAACTGGAACTGGCTCCCAGTATTCAAGGGTTTTTCAACTTCCTAAAAACAATGAAGAACACCTGGATAAAGAAATCAGGACTGACATTCGGAAAAAAGATAAAGCTCTTACAAAATCTACGAGATAATCTTATGCGATTAATAGGTAAGTTCAAATAAGACAACTGATATTTTTAAATCTTTATATTAGATCTTACAAAGTTAAATTTTTTTGAACCGATTATAGAATGCTCAAAATTGTAAATGCAATATGTTTTAAAATTAAGTTTTAAAATAATTTTTTTTTTAACAGAGCAACAGTTTGCGGTTCTTTGGCAACCACCGGAGCGAAAAAGGCGACGTCGACGTGGTCTACTGGATGATTCAAATATAGATTTCCCGCCTGAGGCGGCAATCATGAGCATCAACTTCTTGACATTCGCCGTTTTTCTCATAAAACTGGTTATGGTACGTTGCACAAGGAATTACTTCTTGGAAATCACTTAAGTATATTTAATAATTGCAGCAAGTGGTGAAGATTGTCAAAAGCAAGCATTACACACTTTCCGGTTTTACCTTCGTCCCAGAAGCTGTCAGACGTCCATAAAATATTTCCTTGAATTTAAATATATGTTTTTTAAACCGTAGTTTTTATACTGATATAAGAATACATTTATTTAATTTATTCAAACATTTTATATAACATGTTGAACTTCTCTTATTTTTTATAGTAGAATAATTATGAAAAATGTTTGAATATTTTCCTTTCATTAAGATTTATTTTCCATTATATTCAACTCTAATTGACCGTTGGTGGTAGATTCAAAAATCAAGTAATCGGACTATCGATAGATCTGACCTCACCTCTCACAGCACTCAGCTTGTGTCTGTTATCACCTGTGAGCAGCTGTTTCACTTTCCACGTGCAACGTTTGAATTGTTTTTAAAATACCTCCGAATATAAGTATAATAAAACCTTATAAAAATGGAAGATGAAGCAGAAGTTGAGACTGCGTGCTTTCACCAAAAGAACGATATTCTGTCCACCCGGAGTAAGCAATGGAATTTCTTTATATACCACAGAACAATAACTAAACATTCCATCATCCTCAGTGAAATTCCAGAATGGGTGCTTCTTGGGCAACGAGGAATATTACGCCGTTGAGAGCACTACGGATCGGAAAAGGAAGGCTGTGCTGGAGGCCGGTGACCATGTTTACACAGGTGACCTGCAGGACAGCGAGGATGTCGACTTCTATATCGCCGTGAGGAACAAGACCACCAACAAAGTTCAAATCGTTCCCGTGCAACAGGCACTGATGTCCAATCACATTTACAAGCAATTGGAGCGCGAGGGCAAAAAGATTCCCACATTGAGCAAGGAGCACGCCAGCAAGAAGCTGCTCAAGGAGTTCGGCGGACGCAAGGCATCCCGATTCGTGGACAATCGCGAGCAGATGATGGTCAACGTTGATGTGGTGCGTCAGGATCTGGATGAAACAGTCAAGTCAGTTGCGCAGAACGAAGATGAGGACGAAGACACGCTGGCGGATGTGACCGTCAACAACGAAGAGTACCTGGCCAGCATTGTGCCCAAGTTCGACAAGGAGGCCACCGAGCTGGATGCGATCTACGATGTGGAAAATGTGATCCCGAAAGCCCTGCTTGATCGGCTGGACGAGGAGGCCAAGGTTGTGTTCTCGACGCCGGCCCAGACGCTCCCGTAAGTTGTTTAATCCCAATCAAATGATATAGAGGTCTAAACATCTCTTCATTTCAGCATCAAATCGGAATACCTTAAGTCTTGTTTGGTTCGCATTCAAGAAAAACCAGTCAGCTCCAAGAAGGACTTCCTCCACATCAAGCTTATCATCTACATGGACGCCCTGCAGTCGCTGATTTCCCTTCGCTCGCGGCAAATGCAGGGTAAGGAGCTCTCGAGGATTACGGAAAAGATTGAGAATGATATACGCCATCGCTTCGCGGATCCCAATGTGGCTAAGCGGGGAACTCGGACCAATTTCAGCAGTGAAAAGGCACTCACACACTTCATTGTGTTGGCCCTGCTCATCAGCGAGAAGTACGAGGTGGACATTAACGTCCTGTCCCGCGCTTTGGCCACCAGCAAGGATCGAATCAAGCAGTACGCCCATATTGTGAACGCCCTGCCCAAATCCCGCTCGGACATCCTGGTCCTGCGCCTGCCCAGCAAAGTACCGGCACTTAAGTTGGGTCGTCGCTTCCAACGCAAGAAGTAGAGGGAGTATCTTCAAGGACACCGCGCCCGCCATCGATTTAACAAAACCCGGAGGCGGGTCAATAAAGTTTATTTAAGACAAGTACTGAATACTGCTATTTTGAACCGGTCTTGGCTGTCGCTCACTGTAAATGTCTTTATTCAAACGGAGGTATATTTCCTGGATGCCAGAGAATTGTAGAACCTTCATTATTGTTGTTAATCAAATCTTCCCAATATTAACCACATTGGAGAGCTGTATATTGCCTCAATAACAGAAATTGACAACCTCTCGTTATTTATAATCGATTTTAAGCAAATAGCTGCCATGGAAACTATGGAAATTTCACCAGGACTATCAACTACTTAAGCAACCACCAAATTCATTACACTTTTTGACATTTTTATTTAGTTTTTAGATTGAAAATCAAGAATAACATTAGGCGCGCACACTGGCAACTAATAGTTGCTGGCAGCTGCTTGGAAACAACATTGTTTTCCGGCGTATTATCATAATTAATTTTGTCCTAGCAGCAGGATGGCCGATCAAAGTGGGTGTGTGTGTGTAGTTCTGTGTAGAGTGTGTACGACGGCAATCTTGTTAATCCCTCCCCCTTATCAGTTAGTTGCTATTATTGATTCCCCAAGTCCCGGGTGATGCCCCGCGACGGGAGTCCTCCTTCAGTTCGAGTCCCGAATCCTTCTAGTATCCTCCGTAGGCTCCTCTCTACACGGCCAGTCCGAAGACCGACACGATGCAGTACATGGTCTTGTTCTCCCAGCGCACAGTGCAGGATCCGTCGGTGTCGTTGTTCCAATAGCAGGAGCTGGCAGTGTGCAATCCCGCCCCATTCTTCTGCATGATCATGGCGGTCACTATGTACTTGTAGGGCTTCTGCTCCTTGGTAAGGACAGTGAGGCAGTTCTCCACCACCTGGCCGGTCCAGTTGTTCACCTTGTCGTGCTGATAGGCATTGCCACCGATGGTCGTCTCGATGGCCTCCTTAATCGTCTTGCTCACGTCGTCCACAATGAACTGGCTTTCTTCGCGTGAGTCATCCATTTTCACAGCTTCGATTTAATTGTTCCGACAGCTGGTCAAAAATATAGTATTCCTGGGCTATGGTCCTTGTTGTTGTCCTTGTAGATGTGCGCGCGTTTTTGCGTTCGTCGGCGGCGTTTGGTCAGGCGAAATAAAATATGTCGGGAGTCTTTTTTTCGAAGGGATGTGCGAAGCCTACTTCGGTTTTATTTGCCAGTATTTTCGGGGCGTCTTGATGTGGGCAGACTGGGCGGGAACTTACCTGGAGAAACGGTCACATCGCGGGCCATTATAGCCACTGCACACCCCCGCATTTTTTTTGAAAGTACCTCAAGTTAAAAAAAAAAATTTCGACACTTATTCCTGAAACTAGTTAAGTAAACTGGCATTCTTTTCAGATAAGTATATATTTTACCGCCACTTAAATTATTGCAAAGGGAAACGTTAATTAATTTCATACAAATTCAATTAAAAGGCTCTAAGCTTTGTATAACTGAAAACCAGAGTATTATAAATATTATTTAATAATGTATTTTTCAACTAAAAATTAAATAAAGGAACATATATTTAAATTGGTTTTGAATGTAAATTTTAGAAGGTAATATTTTAAGTTACTAAAAAAATGTTACATCTTTTGAAAAACTGAAAGGGAACGATTTAGCTTGGTCTCACTATTGCTTACATTTTATGTTGAATTTTTAACCATATTTTTGTATTTTAAAACAAGTATATTTTTTTTTTATATTTTTCACTTGACCGGAGTGGGAACGCATCATAATACTGAGACGAAACGAAAACAGTGTTGAAAAACGGCAGAAACTAAAATCGTTATTGCGTTTCTTAAGATTTTTCCAGCTTTAGACCACGGTCACTCTGGCAGAACTACCATAACGGAACGGACGCGTTCGAGGCGCAATAAAAACTGAAAATAATCAATTTATTCCATAATACTGCTGCGACACCACCTAATAAAAAACCGAAGCATATCAAGGCAGACAAATATCGCTATCAAATAGCATAATTCAAAGTCATTCGTGCGTGTAATTCGTTATGGAAAAGTGCCTTGGTGTGTGTGTGCGTGCGTATAATTAAACAAAAGTATTAAGCAAACGAAGTCGCATATTTTGCAATACGCGCTGCGAAATAATCGAGCAATAATTGTCGCAGCTGCGGGCGCACTTCCTTCTCCTGTTTCCTTTATTGTTTTTTAACTCGGATTCGCGCTACTACAATTGCAGCTGCTGTTCAGCTATTTAGCGCGCGTGTGTGTGTGAGTGTTTGCTGGCCGCTGCTGCTGTTGTTGTTTTTGTTTTTGGCTCACCTCTCGTTTAACCACCTTGAATGTGAGAGCGAGAGGGAGTGAGAGGGAAGAAGAGTGCAAAGTTGATGCCCGCGAGTGTGCGCAAGCGTGTGTGTTTGTGTGTGACAACAAATTAACTGCGACTGTGTGCGTGCGGTCATTAGTCACTCTCTTTAACTTTTAACGTTTTTTGGTCCACCTTTTTTGGGCGCATCGCAAAAAGACAATACCAAAAACAACGAAAACAACCTACTAAGCCAGCTTTGCGGATCGGATTTTTTGAATCGAATCGGATCGGAACGAATCGGACGTCGTCAAAAGGTTAGTTACCCTATCCCATCCTACCCGCAATTGATATTTAACCACATCACCCTGACAACTTTGGTTTTACTTCATTTTATTAGCCACATCCACTTCAATTTCCATTTCCATTGAAGTTTGCACAAGCTATTTGCTTAATTGAAATTCCAGTCAAGGTCGTATTTGTTAATTAATTAATGTTTGCCTGGGTGACTAGTGTGGCAAGAAGAAACTTTGCAGCTATTGTACAATACAGAAATATTGCATAAACCGATGTGCTACGTTAGTTCCGACTATTTACTGGCGCCCTAGCGATAAGAAACGGGGTACAGTGACATTTATGGATGAGAGACCCATTTTCTAATAGTATGTGTAGGGGGAATTTTATGATGCAGACTGCATAATGTTCCATACACAGAAAAAACAGCACTTAAAATATGATGTGTTATTATTCTTAATAATCTGGCAATATAAAAACGGGTCTAGTTTCCACCCCATCCAAATACATTATTACATTATAGTAAAATAACTTATATAATGTAATATTTTTCTTACAAAAAATTATAAAATTGGTTTCATATATTATGAAGCTCCTTCTCTTTGCGCAATTAAATAGAAACCCCAATTTCGGTTTCGTTTTGTCACTTTCGGGCGCAGCAGGTGTTGCATTTGCGCTTACCTCACTTTCCAGCTGACTGACTTTCGACCGATCCTCACATGACACGCATATAACATATGGCAGTAAAGCACCCCTCTTCTCTACGCCTCTGCTCGATGATAAACCCCTTTGAAGAGCAATCTCTTATATGTCGCAAACAGGAAATGTGTATCGTGGCAGAATATAAGAAATAAGTACTTAAAACCACAGAAAAATACATTATTATCAAAATGCATATTTGATCAAAGGGTAAAGGGTAAACTGAATTCGTGATAGCTCTAATAACACAATATTCATTCTTGATTATCTTCAAATGCTGGGATTTAATGTTTTTTTTTCCTGAGAAGTAACGTCTATAAGTATAGAGTTTAGCTCGTTATAACATTATTTTGTGTATGAATGATATCATAAAACTGTCATAGAAACGATTTTGCAAACAAATAACTGAATAATCAGAACCTTTTATAATCTGAAGGCTACATTTTTACAAGTGTAGTGTTTCCAGTTTTTACGACTGAAATGGACTCCATATGCAAATAGTATTCTTGACTGAAACAAAAGATCCTTTTTATGGGCCTTTTAAAAAGAACATTGTTTTTCAAAGTGCCTGCAAGTGTTTTGCACTCACTGCTCGATTTACAAAAATGTGGGTGTGTTCGAAAGTGCTGATGCAAGCTTTCAGCTCTGATTGTATTCAACTTTGACCCACATTCGGCAAGTGTCTCGCCATGAAACGCACGAGTGGATTGGAGGCGGAGGAGGTCCCACAGTGATGGATTTCATCTGCAGCTCCTCACATCACATATTTTATATATTCGAACGTGCAATTTTTAGCCCGCATTGTTTGTCTAGAATTTGTGGGCATAACACAAAACTACATTGTAGTTTTGCCTATCAATCGTTGTTGTGTGTATGCAAATGCGCTTTTAGAACGAATTGCACGAGCTGGTACAAAAATACTGGAAGAGAGGAACAAAAAGCTATGACGAACAGGGAAACGTGCTGACAATGTAAATGCTCATAGAATGGTGCAGTTGATTTCGCCAACTTTTAATTCACCTATTTTGATTCTTTCCATTCCTTTTTCTTCTACAGACAGCAGGAAAACTTGCCGCCGACAATGCAAAATCATGGGTTATATTTGAAAAACCCGTTTTCAGCATTTGGGTTTTGCCCATGTGTCTTCGCTCCCTTATACGATTTTTTGCTATAGACTTTCTGGTCTTTTGTTTTATTTTAGCCATTGCTCAAAAGCGCCAAATTTGCTGATCAAATATTTTGCCAGCATATGTGTACGCGTGTATATATGAATAGATTGTTGTCGCACCAGATTCAAGCTGTATCCACAAAACGCTCGTTAAATGCGCCAGCCAAACCAAACAGAAAATCAAATTAATCTTTAACCCGCTGACGCTAAAGAGTTCTTATTATTCGAGACTGTCCGCTAAGAGATCCCCAGAGCTCAATAAACCTTAACCTCAAAGACCCCCCATACAAAGCATGGCTCTGTTCCCATCCATCCATCCATCTATCTCCATTGCTCTTCTTTATCGCTCTTGATGTAAATTGAATGATTTCGGATTTGTTCTCTCCAGTAATTTGCTTTAATTGCATTAATGCATTGTGGGCACGTTTTACCCGATTCTTCTTTGCATTACTTTATGTTGAGCAGGTTTAAAAATGTAAAAAAAAAAATTAAAATAACCCGAAAATTGGGGCGTGTTTTTAGTTGAGTTCATTTAACTTGTCAGGCCTGCCATTAAATTCAATTGACTTCGGCGCGTTGCCTTCGTTTTGTCGTTCATCTGTTGGGGAAGCTTTTGTTGCCACTGCTCCCGTTTTATATTTTTATGCTACACATTAAAAAATAACTGCATTTAAAGAATTATTACACAATGTTTGGTACAAATTAAAAACCTATATTGGTTATTTGGAAAGAAAGAAATGGATCTTGGTATAAATTTAAAAACTTTTCTTATTTGAACATTCGCGGGATTTTTAATTCATTGCTAGGGTGTTTCTATAAGCAATTTTAGGTGTTTTCTTACGTTACTCATATGAAGTGACTCACCCAAATATAAAATCCCGCCTAAAATCTCATTTTCATATTCATCATATTTTCTGTCAATGAAAATGTAGCTGAATATTTATAAGTTTCGCCAATGCCATAGCTAAATTTGTGCCGGTAAATAGAGTTTTCTATTTTCCAGCGATTTTAACGATATGGATGTGACTCAGAAACGTGACATGTAGAAACACTTTCTTTCCTATTTAATATTAGCTTTAAAATTATATAATTTTTACTGTGTAGTCCATAGAGAGGTTAATGATTTGCTCATGGAGCATTCAAGTGGCGCAAGTCTGAGACTAATGGAGCATTTGTAGCCCTTTGTGATATGATTGTGGTCTAGTTTTTATTCGACCAGTGAAAATAAAAGCATTCAAGGTCGTCACGCCCGTGTTGTAGGTGTGTGCCGTGCACGAAAATGTCGAAGTATCAGCAATTACGAGAAAGAGAAATGTTTGTTGAGCACAGTCTATTAAAAGCAGAGCATGGAAATTGCTCTTTTAAATGCAATACATTTCATTTCATTTCACTTCGATTCGATTATTAATAACGCTCTCACTCGGCTTTAATGCAACGTTTCCACCCCACATACATACAGATGTACACATCCCACTTATAAATACAGAGATCGATGTGTTTGTCACTTTCTTTTGTTCTGCTTTCATTCGTCTGCCATTGTTCGTGAGAGTTTGCTCGGAACGTGCGGTCAAGCTTGAGGATGGCCTATACCAAAGTAAAAGTTGCCCGAACCAAGCCCACACATTCTGTCAACTGATGGAATCATCGGTTCGGATCCTACAAGATATCTCTACCTCTAACAGTTTCACTGGAAATCAGTTACAAGAGAACCCATGTCGGTAAATACTTAAAACGCAAACCGAAGAAACGAAGTAGCA